TGGTGGAAACCGCGTCATTGGAAGAAACGGGCCTTTAACCCCAAACGTCAAAATTTAAATTCTCATTTTGTGCCCCAGTAGGTTTCCTATAGAACTATTATGGAGACGTTGTTACCCTGTATTTCATGCAAATTGATTTTGTGTGGTTACTTCATCAATTTCTCGATACCACCCTGTTTTATAAATCACTGTTTTGAATAAAGATAAATATGATGCGAATCACTATTACGGAAAAAAAATGTAACACATCAGGAGTGTATTTTTGGGGAAAAAAAATCTTTCTGTTTTAATGAAATGACCGTATCTACAGTACTTTTTTGCCATTGTCTCAAGATAGTCATTTCCTGTTCAGTTTGCTACACCAGTTGCGATACCTATGAAGAATAAACAAGTTTATTAAGAGCAGAATATTAATCCAGAACACTTTTCTAGTCTCCATAATACAGGCTAAATTCCAGATCAAGCTGTGATGAATACTTTGTTTCATTCCAATTCCACTTAAACATGGACCCTGCCAATAAAAGGACCTTTGCTCTGGGCGAGCCACCACTCAGCTGAATCAAGACACCGAACTGTCAACATCAAATAATATGAGACCACAGCTTTTCAAGTAGCAAGAAACACTGTTGGCCATAGCCCTGTTCAGGCTGGAAATAATGATTAATGAAATCATTTAATTTTTCCTGTTAAACTCTGTAAATAACAAACGATGATCAGCTCTAGTCAGTTGTCTTCGCCCAAACGACTTTAGATGAGTGGATGTTTCATACATTTTTGTTCCTTTAGTGTCCATATTTATGTCTATCTTACCCATCGCTTTGGCAAACAAGTGCAAAGAATCAACGTAGCTTCTGTTTTAATTTGTCCTTTTTACACATAACTGTCAAGATCAAAGAAGAGGAGAGGGAAAGCTTTCTGAAAGTTCTTTGCAATGCTATGCTGGTTTGCGAAGCGGTTTCCACAAGGAAGGTCAACGGGCGGTCTTGAAACGGTTTGTGCAGTAAAAGATCACTTCCAAAATGTAATTTTCTACAAACACTACTATGTCATTCTAGTGCAATTAGTTTTTGGTGTTTTTTCTTTTCATTTCACTTAAATATAATTTTATAAAGAATACTTTTAAGTTTCAGGTTCAAAACAAGACATGATGTAGTGGTTTTGATTATCATCTGAGAACAGTGTACTCAAAAAGCATTTACTTACTTTATATATGACTGACACTGTGCGATTTACCAGTGGAGGTACTATTAAAGGTTTTTAGTTTCCTGCATTTACCCAATTTTTTAAGGAATTTATTACCAATAAGGAAGAGATTCCAACACATTTGTGACAGTCAAACTCTGTGGAGACATTTTTGCTTTGCCGTTGATTACACAAGGTCAAGCTTCGATCACATTTTCCAACATGCGCACTTCTTTAGAAGTTTTTCCTTTGTGGGCTACATGGGGCAACTAAAACTGGAAGTACAACCCGAATATATTGAAGCCACAATAGGTTGATGTATTGAACTAACAGAACTGAACATCAGTTACAACTGTATAATCCAAAACTTATCATTTCTCCTAAATATGCCAAATTTGGCGATGGAACACTGCTGTAATGTTCACGCACAAACTGCAGTGCAAGCCTTTAAAAAGCTTCCAAAACCCAAAGAAAATTGTTTTATCTTTGAGTGAACAGTTGACCAAAGATAGCTGAAAGAAGTATTTTGTAGCCAGAGTTGATATGTGCCCATAGATATTGAGAAATGTTGCTGTTTATTATTAATTATTTCCTGGGCAAATTTTGTTTTTTGCTTCTGCCCCTCCTCCCCCTTCCGCGCCCGTCGATCCATAACTTTTCTAACAGTCCATCCTTAAGCCACGCTAACTATGGTAAGTGGCACGCCAATGCAGCACCTGCTTTGGAAGCACTGAATCAACAATCTGTTGAAATTTGCATTATCTGCATCTGCCTTATTATTTTGCGTTGCGAGAAAGTATTAAATCGTTCGTTTGGACTTAACAGCATGGATCAATCTAAGAATTTATTTCTTAATAACTTGAGAGAGCGGAAAAGAAAGAGATCTGACATTTCACAGGCTTTAAAGACTGTCAAAGTACATCCCTTTCAGATTTAGAAGATATGAGGAACACTTTAACCGAAGGAGACCTACTATCGCTCTTTAAATTTTAAAGTACCAAACGCTTTAAAGCTGGCCAACATCATTTGGGAAATACCAACTGGCCTTCCAAAGCCAACTAAGAGGTACGTGTTATTGTTCCAAATTTAGTGGAATTCGAGGAGAGTTTGAAGTAGAGCATTGCGTGAGGCTCCTCCACTTTTTGACTGAAGGACTTGAAACCCTACCCTGCGAACAGAGTCTGTTTCGATCTTTCTAGATAAGTCGGGAAGAGGAAGGAACCTCTGCCAACATCCTCAACAATTCATATTGAGCATGCTCCAAATTTAAACTTTTCTGCGACGTCAATTAAACTGTTACCATAGTATCTACTGTGTTTGTCAGCAAAATGTTAGTGGGAACGTATCAGTTCGTTTTGACCCATCCGTATCTGTGTTTCCTCTGGATATGAAAGCCCTATAGGAAAAATTTCACCTTTGGAATCTAAACTTGCCACGTTTCAGTATAAAGAAGTTAACAAATCTTAGAACTAAGATTAAACTTACGGTGCTTTTCAAAAACAAAGCAACGAACCTTGAAACACAGAAACACACAAAACGGATCGCAATCCACCAATCACAAATCACAAACAACGGCCTTTCGTTTCCTGAAGAAAGAGCCCCTTCTTCAGATTGTGAATGACGTCGCAGAAAAACACAAAATCAAAAGACATTTTTGGCATCCCAGTTCGGGTATTATCCAAGAAACATCTCTAAAAGCATCGATCATTTGAATGCAACATGGACTCTGTAGCCTCATGATCTTCTTCTCAATTAATGTAATGAAGAGCAAACACCAAAGAATAGGCATAGATATTGTTTTGTAAATATTTTCATTCAAAACCCATTTGTTTATCCTTCCAAGAACTTCGCGTAACACTTACTGGATTAGGGATCGTTCACGCAAGTAAAATCAGCTAAGCACATGATTAAATCCAAAACAAAATCCATCTCAAGTCTGGGTACATTTTCCAATTTTTCTAAAACTGAATGTTAATTCTTTAATTGTTATGGAGCATGGGTGCAGAAAGAGTCAGTGAAACTCCAGAGTATGCGTGCCCGCACAGGTAAAACTGGTTTATCCAGTATGAAACTTGTCTGACTCATCCAAATCGCTGGATGATCGGCAGATCAAAGGAACTTGAAGATGTGGGCAGAGTGATTCCTCTTTCCCGACTCATCTAGGAAAGATCGAAGCGACTCTGCTAGCAGGGTATTGAAACCCACAACTACGAGCAGGAAGCAGAGGCGATACTTGCACCATCAGTAAAGAATTGTATCAACTGCAACAAGGCGCTGGTGGCACAGAACCAAATCTGTTCAGTAACTGTGTTTTCGAGGAATTATGTGATATCTGCAATGAAGTTTTATTCCTGTTGCAAGGATTGTAAGCTCAACTATGGTTATTCAAAGTTTGGGAACGCCGAAAATGGTTACAAGTTTTATGAGGAACAGCATGTGTATGTGTAGGCAACTGATAATGTTTTCTTAGACAGAAGCCTTTGCCTCTTTCATACCTCTTTGGTGTAAGTAGAAACTTCTTTGCTTATTTGCGCCCATATACGCTATTAACTGCAATTCAAAGTAGACAGACTGCAAATTATATTAGTTGCTACAAATATATATATCTACGTGTCGCAACTGTTCATCAGTAAGATACCTAAAATGCGTGCAATTCCACAATTGGTTTTGGCTCCATTA